TGTCTGCTAAGGTGACAGGAAGTACCAGGTGTTCTCCAAGGACCTGCCATACTGCATAATTCATTCAGAAGAATTAACCTGGCCAGGCTTCTGGTTTTAACCCCACAAGTGAAAGCACTGAATCTAATGTAAACCAGAAAACCACTACAAAACTCTTGCTTTCCAAACCCCAACTCCTCTGAGAATCCTTTTGGTTAATCAGTGTTACCTGCAACTTGGATGAACCTTGAAAGCATTCTGCTAAGAGAAAAGACCATCTAGAGCTTTATTCCATTTGTCTGAAATGGCAATAATAGACAAATCTGTAGAAACAGAGTGTATCTCGGGGTAGCCTGGGGCAAAAGGGGTGGAGAAGATGGGGGGGGCAAAGATAGGGTGACACTCAAAGACAGGTGTTTCTTTAGGCTAATAAGTGGTCCTAGTCCCACAACTCCATGAATATATTAAAAGCCATTGACTGGGTTATCCTTGAATTATATTTTAGTAAAGTTGTTACCAAAAGAAAAAGTTCTTTAAAAAGTAGTATTTTACCATATCAACCCATTTTTATGTTCAAGGTAATACTTAGCAATTAATCAAATGAGCCAAAAGTTAACTAAAAACAAAACTCTCCAAGTCCTTTTTGAACAGTCCAATGGCACTTGCTTTCCTAAACATTGCTCAAGGGGCTGAGACTGTAGCTCAGCTGTAGAGTGTCTATTTTGTAACCTCCAGCACCACATGCTCAAACAAAAATACATATAGATGTACACTTAAAAACAAAAATAAATATACACACATGCTTGCTAGTGTGGCAGTATAGTTTATTAGTCTGAAAAGTAATTCAAACAAGCAAATAGAAGCCGGGAAAGACTCATCAACCTTGAATTCTCAAGGACTGTCATGGGCCTTAGTTGTTTCATTCATGGTAACCTCCAGTAACCTTCCTGATGTTGACCTGGGATGATTGTATCCACAGTTCCTCGAGTGACACATCTCACGTCTGATCTAGACATCCAACACTGACATTATGTCACCCACTAGTGTCCATATTTGGCAACAAACTAATGTCTGTGCACTTTTCTTATTTGGCCACATTGACATATGTGACTCATTTTGAGCGTGTGAAAGGTGGAAAAAGAGAGACTGTGGAGCTGAACGGCGAGAAGTGGCGCAGTTCTCTAGGGGACTGGGGAGCTGCCATATCATCAGGTACATCTGGTTGCCTGAGGAGACTCCCTGTCGCCTGTTCACTATGTATAGAACACCATCCCTGCTGGCGTTATTTTCTGAGGAGCAGTGGACTCAGCAGAAGGGTTGCTGTGCCATTCCTTGTGGCAACTGCCTTAGATAAACAGGATCGTTCAGTTAATATCATAGAGAAAGGAAAGTGAAGGGTGGGATGCACTAGTATGACCACGTAAGCAACTGCTCCTAACTCAAGTAGCTACTTCGATAGAAAGTTGGCTGATTAATGAAAGGGATTAAATCAAGTCCACCCACCAGGAGATTAACCTGGGAGAAAAGTAAAGCATTTCTTCCCTATATCAGAATGTGAAAAGACTGCCCTGCTACCTGACTGAAATAGCATTGGTGTGGTGGTTTGAATGAGAAATGACCCCCACCACTTGGTCCCCAGTCAGTGATGCTGTTTGGGAAGGCCATGGAACCCTTAGGAAGAGGAGCCTGCTGGAGGAAGTACATTTAGTGGTGAGGACTTTGAGGTGTTAGAGCTTCATCCCTCTCCCAGTACTATCTTGTGTACTTCCTGGATAGGATACAATGTAACCAGCATCGTTCCTGGATACGGTGTAACCAGTGTCCTTCCTGGATACAGTGTAACTAGTGTCCTTCCTGGACACAACGTAACCAGCGTCCTGCTCCTGCTGCAGTGCCTTCTCTATCCTGATGGACTCTCTCCCTCTGGAACTGTAAACCAAAATTAACCCTTCTTTCCCTAAGTTGCTTTTTGTCAGGGTATTTTATCACAGCAACAGAAAAGAAATTAATACAACTGGATTCCAATTTACAAGAACCTTCAAGGTCGAAGGACCACCCAAATACATTGTTGCTCTACCAAGAGGAGAACATCTTCAGGGTCCTCCTGCCAGTGCCAAAAGATAACACCAGCAGGTGTGGTGAGGCTAGATGAAGGATAAGCAGGAAAGATGAGTTCCCTGCATCTCCCCAACTCTGGTTCATGTCTCCAGACATCATGGCTCATTGTTGGCATGTTTCACAAGATACAGTCCAAACACTGTTACAGGTGGTTCCTGCACCTCTTCTACCTGACACCTGCCATCTGCCTCAGCAACAAGAACTCAAAGCCTCTACTCTGCTGGATCAACTGTATAGAAGAGGCTACAGCCAAATTCTCCTGACATCAATGACGTGTCTACTACGTTTGCCAGGATGATATTTGTGTTAATAATTTGGTTCATTTGTTGTTTAAAAGTTACTCTGTGCTTTATAGCTAGTTGTTTGTGTCCCAGGCACTGTTGTGAGCACATTCTACTCTGCCACTTGTATGTTAAAAACAATCCCTATTGGTCACTTTTCTGTTGGTGGGGCCAAATGTCTGACAAAAGCAACTTACAGGAGAAAGGGCCTCTTCGAGCTCACCATTTGAGGAGGATTTGGTCATTAGTGTGGAGGAAGTGTGACTGCAGGCACATGAGATGGATGTCATTCTGTGTACCAGGAAGCTAAGGAAGATGAGTGATGATGAGCTCATGTTTCCCTTTTTGTCTTATTCAACCCATGGTCCGAATGGCTCTTCCCAACGCAGCTAAACCTTCATGAAATACCCTTACAGACATGCCCAGAGGTGTGGCTCCTATGTTATCTAAATCTAGTCCAGCCAACAGTGAAGGCTAACCATCTCACCATCCTACCAAGTATGGCTCGTATCTCAGCCTATATCCACATACAGTTCTCTGCAATGGTGTTGAGAATTTTTTCATGATCTTTCCCTCACTTTTGCCTCCTTCTCTCACTGAGAAATTAATAGAGCTAGAGAAATGGAGCTAGTTGCTTACAGGCTTCCCCAAGCAAAGAAAAGTCTGTTTTATTTGTTTTTATATTCAGCATGACTGCTATAGTGCTCAGCACATAGTATATGCTAAATATGTTCTGGCTGAAGTCATAAATAAGTGAGTGATTAATAAAAAAATATTTTATCACAGACAGTAAAAAACAACAACAACAGAAAAACATTCCCTTCCTTTTATCCCTGCTCCAGGACTCTCCCAGAATTATTATTATTGCTGCTGCTGCTGTTGTTGTTATTGTAGTTGTTTGTTGCTGTTGTTGTTTTGAGACAGGGTTTCTCTAACCCAGGCTGCCCTGGAACTCAATCTATAAACCTAGCTGGCCTGGAATTGATAGTTCTGCCTGCCTCTGTCTCCCGAGTGCTGGGATTTAAGGCATGTGCCATCACCAACTGCCCCAGAATTGTTAAACTACCTGATGAGATGCTGGAGAAATGGCTTAGCCATTAAGAATACCAGAGCTGGGTTCCTGGCACCCACTCTGGGCAGCACAATTGCTTGTAACTCCAGTTCCAGGGCAGCTGGTGCTCTCTTCTGGCCTCCACATACATGCACCTGCATGCAATTGCATATACTAACCCCAGACATATATACATAAAATTAATTTTTTTCTAATCTTTTAAAAACATAAAAACTTTAAAATTAAAAAATAATGAAATGCTTGATAAGAGCTCTGGAAACCTTGGGTCCAACAGCCAAATCATCGTTTGCCTGACAAAGCAAACTAAGAAAAGCTGTTGTAATTAAAATCGAAACCCTGCTCAATGCCAGCTCACCCTCCAAAGCCTTCCATCTGCATCCGAAGCAGTAATGTTTTCCTAGATTGAAGTCTAAGCAAAGTCATTTCTAATAAATGATGGAAAGGAATAGTTTTCTTCGTGGCTTTTCTGCTTTTCATTTTCACTAAAAAATGAGCCTTCAGTGACCTGTTGTTACAAAAGGTCAATGACAATCCCATGGGGAAATATACCATAAGTTACCAGTCAGCTCAACCTCCATGGTCATGATTGAAACTAAGGGGTTCCCTGAGCCCGAGACCTTCCTAAGCACCCAGATCAGGGAAGGTCCTGTTTCTTCCACCTTTCTGTTTCACATACCAACAAACCATGCACTTTTTAAAACATGATTTGAGCTCGTCTAAAGGCACATGTGTCTTTGGCATGTATTTGGGGGTGTGGCTGTGCACATGAAGAGGAAGAAACAGACACAGGCTGGAAGAAGGCTGCTTCTGATGTTATTTTTAACCAGAGCTTTCTGAGCCCAGGGAGTTTGATCCCACAACTAAACACAACCCCAAAGGGTGTCACTGTAGCTGGGTGTTCTTTCCTTAATCAACAGAATGTCTGTTCTTTCTTTCCACGCAGCAATGGTAGGCTGTGTATTTATTTGCCAGACTGTTGGAGACACCCTTGTTGATTCTACTCAGGCTCTCTATTTTTAGGAAAAGAGCAGCACAACTCATTCCTGGCACCAGCTGTCAGAAGTGCTGGATTTCCTTCTCTGTTCTGTAATTCCTAGTGTGACCCTAAAGGAGGCTCAACCCCTTGAAGCCAATGTCTTGGCCTGGGAAGCACTTGGCTGCTGTAGCAAATAAGGCTGACTACTTTGTTACCTACTATCTCATCTTGAGAAAGGATGAGGTCTTAAGTGCAAGTTCTGAAAGAAGCTTTGTGAAAGAGAGGAGAGTGTACCATCCAGAGCTTCCACACCTGTGCAGCAGCTGCTTCAAATGTTGACCTCTCCCCTCCACTCATGGGCTCCCACACCCTGCTTAGATGACGCCCCCACAGCAAACAGGACCCCTGTGTTTAAGGCACGTTGCTGTTACTCTGGATGCTACTTGGCTCCGTTGAGTCTGTAGTTACCGCCTCTGAGCAAACAATCTTGTCTCTGATTGGGCAGCCTTAGCTTCTGAGGTGTCTTTGCTTTGACATGGTGCTGTTTCTTCACCTTCCTCTTTGTCCTTTGCAGGGTATATCCCCAGCTATTTAGACAAGGATGAGCTGTGTGTAGTGTGTGGGGACAAAGCCACGGGGTACCACTACCGCTGCATCACCTGTGAAGGCTGCAAGGTAAGTGCCAGGGTCCCCAGCGCAGACCACTGTGTAGCACCGTCCTCTCTCAGAGAGCCACTAGAACTCAGTATTAAAAAACAAAATATGACATTCATGGCCTCTGGCCATCAGGGGTCCATTGGGCCTCTTCATTTCTGACATGCTCAAGATCTGAATTTTCCTTTTTCCTAAATCATGACTAACTACATGAAATTTTGCAATAGTGTGGTGTTTTATTTTAAAACAGACAACTAACAAAAAGAATAAATTAATAATACTTACTTGAGTTTTAAAGCATAGTTTTCAATATACAATCAACCCATTGCTTCACCATTTCTCCTCCAATTTTATGTGCAATGTCTGAGAAGACTGAGTCTGTTCCTCCACAGCCTTTTCTGCTGTGGCTTTGCATGAACATGCCATTCTAAGGGTTCCATTAGGCAGAATCTTTGAAGCCACTTAGACTCAATTATGTTCCGGCATTTATTCAAAGTGGCTTTCTACAGAGCCTATAATAAATGGAGTTAGGTTGCCATCAGGTAATTTTGTGCTCTGCAAACCTTTCTTCAGGAGATTCTTGACAAAAATATACTGGTATGTTCACTTCTCCAAAGGGAGCTTACGTCTGCCTACTTACAATCTTCATCAGCAAAATAAAGATAAGCACTATGGAAAATAACTTTTTTTTTAATTTTTTTTTAAATTCATTTATTTATTATGTATACAGCATATGTGACTGCAGGCCAGAAGAGGGCACCAGATCTCATTCAAGGTGGTTGTGAGCCATCATGTGGTTGCTGGGAACCGAACTCAGGACCTCTGGAAGAGCAATCAGTGCTCTCAACCTCTGAGCCATCTCTCCAGCCCCCCGGAAAATAACTTTTGGTCCATTAACCTAGGTTAGAAAATAAACACAAGGCTTAACCCAGTGTGGTACCCATGTAGCTGATGCTGTGTAAACGGGATGTATTAAAAACCAGGGAAGGACTTTGACAAGTTTAAGATAAAACTTGTATTGAAGTTTAAAACACAACTTCCTCTTCCTCTTCCTCTTCCCTTCCCTTCCCTTGTCTTCCTTTTCCATCTTTCCTCCATGCCCTCCTTCCTGCCCTTGCCTTTAAACCCCCATAATTAACAGGTTAGTTCCATTCACACCAAGGTGGGCTACACTTCCCTAGTGGGAGATTTTCCATGCAGGACCCCTGTTTTTTGCACATAATATTAGGAAGCACCTCAGTGATACCTCAGCGTCTCTACAAGGGCGGCAAGCATGCTCCTTTCTCACGCTCCTTTCTGAGGGCCTGGGGCCTCATTTGCCACACCATCAGTTGGAATATGTGTGAAGCAAGGGACTCTCGTCTCCAATATCCTTTTGATACAGAATTTGCAGATGACAAGACTAGGCTAAAGGTTGTGTTGTTTCTATGAAAATAAGGTCTTGTGGAGTTTAAAAAACTAATCACAAGTCCTGGCTGCTTATTAATTAGGAGATTTGCAGTTGCAAACCTGCTTTTGAAAGCATGGTTTCATTGTTTCATTTGAAAGGAATAAGGCTAGCTAGGTGTGGTGCCTCAGGCCTGTAATTCCAGGATTTTAAGACACTATCTCAGGAACACAGCAAGTTCCAGGCAATCCTGGGCTACTGGATAAGTTGGAGGCCAGCGGGGCAACTTACACCCTGTCTCAAAAATAAAAAGTAAAAAGTACTAAGCCAGGTGGTGTTGGCACACGCCTTTAATCCCAGCACTCAGGAGGCAGAGGCAAGAGGATCGCTGAGTTCAATGCCAGCCTAGTCTACAGAGCAAGTTTCAGGACGGCCAGAGCTATACTGAGAAACATTGTCTTAAAAAATAAAAACAAAAACAAAAATGTACTAGGGATACAATGTACTAGGGATGTAGCAGAGTGCCATTATGTCCAACCAACCCCTGGTTCTGGGGAAAAGAGGAAATAATAAGACTGTGTAACTTTAGGTTCATTCTCTTACTTCCAAAATCAGTCGTGGAAGCTAATACTGGAAACCAGCCTTTTGTCTTGTCTTGTTTGCTTTTTCTGAATTGGCCCCCAATGCATACAGCTTCACCTCCCTGGTTGCACCACATGGAATGCTTTTACAACAATATCATAAGATTAAAATTTGAATTGAAAGAAAATACAATGAAAAGTCACCATAACTCTTAATCCCCAAAGCGGTTCGAAAGGCTGGCTGTGTGTGACAGGATACAGTTCCAGCAACTTCCTGAACAAGGAGAGCTTTCACCCCTGACCCTACCTCACTAATGTCAACTAGCATCCCCCCAAGACTACTAGGTGTTTGGAGACCTGATACAGCCAAGATTTCCTTAAAAGAAATATCATAAAGGACCTAGAGAGACGGCTAGGTGATGAAGAGCAATTCCTGCTCTACCAGAGGACCTGAGTCCCCAGGACCCATATCACACAGATCACAACTGCCTGTATCTCCAGCTCCAGGGGATCCAAAGTCCTCTTTTGGCTTCTGAGGACCCCTGCACATCTCAGGGTTTAACACACATGCACACACACATACACACTCACTCACACACACACACAATTTAAAATAAACCTTTAAAAACATAACAAGAAGCATCACATAGCATGACCTAGGCTTCACAGCATCTGTGCCTGTGTATCAGATCAGATCCTGTTTGTGGGTTGCCCCCTTCACAGACCCAGAAAGGAACCTGGGAGGGACAATCTCAAGATTTCTTAATATGATGAAGGAGCAACTTGGGAAAGGTGGAAAGAGTTTTTCAAATGTAGCATCATCTTCAATGGCATCAAGAGATGAAAAGATCACACCTCATAGTTTATTCAAACCTACAGTGTATACGGACAGAATCTGTATTGCCCTAGCAACAGAAAGATTTTGGAGTTTTTAACTGCTGTGATGTGTAACTTGTTACACACTCTGTGTTTTGTGGAAAGAAGGTTGAAGTTGCCCCAGCACAGATTGTTTTCAAAGAAAGACCTAAACACAACAGTTCCCTCTGAATACTGAACTGAGGTGGTATTCTAGTCTCATGCTGTTGCTGTGATAAAACTAACAAAAAGCAACTTATGGGAGGAAGGAATTTATTTGACTTACACTTGCAGGTCGAAGGCCATTATTGGAGGAGTCATGGCAGGAGCCTGAAGCAGAAAGAGGGAGGAAGCCTGCTCGCTGGCTTGTCTATGCTTAGCTAGCTTTCTTATACAGCCCAGGACCACCTACCCAGAGAGTGATGCCACCCACAGTGAGCTAAGCCCTCCTACATCAGTTAACAATAAAGACGTGCTCATAGGGCAAAATTATCAGGGCAGTCCCACAAAGGAGACTCCTTTGGTTGACTCTTAAGTTATGTCAAGATGACAGTGAATGCTTACTAGGATGGATAGTAACATAAGGTCTGTGTGTGTGTGTGTGTGTGTGTGTGTGTGTGTGTGTGTGTGTGTGTGGTTTTGTTATTGTTATTGATGTTATTTTGAGACAGGGTTTCTCTGTGTAGCCCTCGCTGTCCTGGAACCTGCTCTGTAGACCAGGCTGACCTCAGACTCAGAGATCCACCCTGAGTTCTGGGTTTACAGGCATGTGCCATCATGCCTGGCTACATAGAGGTCCTTATATCTTGCTAGTCCATCATCTGGGAAATGAATCTACCTCTTCTCTGAGTACAGAAATGTCTGTTGTAGGTTATAAAGGCAAGTCCTTTGCTCACCTACAGTGAAACATGACCTTACTTATTCCCTAAGAAGCCTCTTTTGTCAGCCCACAAGATCTGATGGGTGGGTTGGTTTTGGTGCTGGGGCCTGAACTCAGAATTTTGTGCATGTTCAGCATATACTGTGCTACTGAACTACACCCCTGAACTCCTAAAATGATTTTTTAAGTAACTGTTTTATCTTTAAGTTTACCTCCAGGAGTTAATTTTCATCACTTTTTAAAATTAGGAGATCTATCATTGTTACATTCACCTAAAAGTAGTAATCCCTTATCACATGTCAAAACATGCTCTGCCATAGGTTAGGATAGTGCGGTAACATAAAAGGGACTTGGTAGGCTCACAAAAGGTACAAGGAACAGCACAGCAAGCTGCTGCAATTCTATTTTCGACAAAAGCAAAGTATCGGTTCTCTCATTTCATCAAAGAGTACACAGAATACCTTTGTGGAGACATAGGGTCTGCCCCCATTCTAGGACACCTCTGCCCACCCTGCCCTGGGGTGCTCTTTATGAGCATCCAGTGTGAGGGAGAAAAGGGGTCATGAGCCTCCTCCGTCTCTGCAGATGTCCACAGCCTCCCCTGGCTGGCTTCTAGGTAAACATGACTTCCTCCAGAAGGGGGCATTGTCCTGCCCCTTCCCAGTCTGTGCTATCCATCTTGCCAGAAATGGCTGGGTTTCTTTTGTCCCCTCTACCCGCTTAGACAGAGAGTCAGAGTTAAGGATGGAAAAGCCAAATGGAAACTTGCATTTCATTCATACATTGCCAGAAAACGTGGCCCTTTGGGCAGGATTCACCCACTCTGCACCTGGGTTTCCCACTTGGTACTGACGTCTCAAATGCGTCTTTGAGTATAGTTCCTGGGCCATAACAGCACACCCATATCATTCAGAGACGTGCACACATGTTCAAGAACACAAAACCCTGATTATCCACATCATTCAGAGGCGTGCACACATGTTCAAGAACACAAAACCCTGATTATCCACATCATTCAGAGGCGTGCACACACATTCAAGAACACAAAACCCTGATTATCCACATCATTCAGAGGCGTGCACACACATTCAAGAACACAAAACCCTTAGGCAATGAGTTTTCCTGTTAGAATGCAGTTTTGAAAAAAAAAAAAAAACATATGCCTTAAAACCACAGATATGAGTCTCAATTACTCCTGCTTTGCTCAATGCAAGGTCTACTCTGGACCCTTTCGTTACAAAGAAAAGCTCTGTCTGAGTGTGGGCTGTGTAGCGGGGCATGTGTCCACAACCAAAGCAAAAAAAAAAAAAAAAAAAAAAAAATGAGCAAACGAAAGTGGGCGGAATGTAGGGCAACTGGTATTTCTCCAAAAAAGTGAGAGACCCCCTTTGAGTTTTAATAAAGAACTCTTTCAAAATGTGTTTGTTAGGTTAAATGAAAGTTTGGGGGATTAGCGAGAAGAAACTTTTTATATATTTCGCTCATTTAAGTAATACAGCAAAACCATTTCATTGTATTATCAGCTAAGCAGTTAAGGAAATAAGATTTAGAATGCGCATGTGTGTTGTGGGTCACATTTGGAATCTGGGATCCCAGCATTTGGGAGACTAAACAACAAGGATCACAAGTTCAAGGACATCCAGGACTGTAGAGAAAGTTTCAAGCAAGCCCTGATTCCATAGCAATATCCTGTTTTAGGAGAAAAAACTAATATGGAATACAGCTCCTGGGTTGTAAGCCAAGTGACCACGTGATCTGTGGCAAGTGATTGAACCCCCCTAAGGCATAGTTTTGTAGTCTGCACAATGATATCATTAATAGAACCTCCCAAGTAAGGTTGTGGAGCAAAGGGACACAGAATGCATCTGCCTCTCTGTCTGTGGCCTCACAGTCAGAGCTCACTACCATTGTTAGTTCCTGTGCATTCATCAGTGGCCAGAACTTAGGACTCAAGTCCAGAAAGGCTCTGGACTAATGCCTTTAAGGCCCAGCATAGTGGTAAACACCTAAATCCTAACACCTGAGAGGCTGAGACGAGAGAGTCATGAGTTCAAACCCAGCCTAGAATATATAGAAAGTTGCATTATAGGCCAGCCAAGGCTACATAGCAAGACCCTGTATCAAAATAAATAAATAACAGTCTGGAGCAAGTTATGGAAATCAGCCAAACTAGAATCTACTGGTGTTCTTCAGAAAGGAGGAAGCATATTGCCCTCCTATGCCTACAGACACTGGAGGGAAAGGGGGTTTTAGATGTAAAAGCTCCAAGCTCAACTTTTCTGTTCTTAGAGTCCTGTTGTTTGAAAGGTTGAGGGAACTGGTCATGGACATCTTTTTTTTTTTTTTTTCTTTTTTCCCCTTTTCTCTCATTTTTTTTGAAAATAGATTCTTCTCTCAATTAATGCATCCTGAACACAGTTTCCTCCCTCTCTCTTCCCAGCACTGCCCCCACCTCCCCTCGCCCCAGATCCACTCTGTTTCCTCTTAGAAAAGAGCAGACATCCAAAAGACAACAGCCAAACAGGACAAAACAAGATACAATCGGACAAGGCAAAAGCCCTCACATCACGGCTGGACAAGGCAGCCCAACAGGAGGAAAATGCTCCCAAGAGCAGGCAAAGGAGTCAGAGACACACCTGCTCCCACAGTTAGGAGTCCCACAAAAACACCAGGTTAACAGCCATAGCATACACTCAGAGGACCTGGTGCAGATCCATGCAGGCCGTGCTGGCCACTTCAGTCTCTGTGAGCCTAGACGAGCCCTGCTTAGTTGATTCGGTGAGCCATGTTCTCCTGGTGTCCTCCACCCCCTCTGACTCCTACAATCTCCCCCTTCTTCCATGGGGTTCCCTGATTTTGTAGGGGAAGGACCCAATAAAGACCTCCAATTTAGACTCTCTTGGCTCATAATGTCTGGCTGTGGGTCTCTGTATCTGCTTCTATCTGCTGCTGAAGGAAGCCTCTCTGACAATGACTGGACAAGGCACCCATCCATAAGTATAGAAGAATAATTAGGAGTCATTATGAGCCCCAGCACATCTTGCAGGCAGGACAGATTGTATAGGTCAAAGGTTTTATGGCTGCTTTGGTGTCCAGGTTTCTCTTTCTGTAGCCTGCAGAGTACCTTCCCACACCACAGAGACTAGAACGTAGGGGTGAAGGCTCCATGCAAGCACCAGATCGACCTCTCTATGTTCAATGAGCTGTGTGGATGTTGTCCTTCACAATGGACCCCGCTGTCAGTTTTCAGAGAGCGACCCTCTGTCCCACCATCAGCCTGGGTTGTTTAGGAATTTCCACAGGAATCTCCTTGGCCAACAATTCAACCAAATATAACATCCCACCACTGGGAGCCTTGCCTGTTAAGAGATGGCCAATTCAAACTGTATCCCCCATTACTAGGAGTCCTCACTAGAACCACCCTTATAGATTCTGGGAAGTTTCTATTGCAGTAGGTTTCCACACTACCACACCCCCAGTGCTCCCAGTTACACCTGTCTCTCCCTGCACTCTCATCCTCCACTATCACCACCCCAACCTGATTCCTCCTGCTCCTATTCCCATCTTCCTCCAGTCCACCCACAAGATTTATTCTATTTTCCCTTCCCAGGGAGGTTCATGCATGCCCCCCCCCCAGAGCTCTCCTCTTTACCTCTCTGGGTCTGTGCATTGTAGCTTGATTATCATTACTTAATAGCTAATGCCCACTTATAAGTGAGTACATACCATATTTGTCTTCCTGGGTTTGGCTTACTTCACTCAGGATTTTTTTCAAGTTCCATTCAATTGCCTGCAAATTTCATGTTGCCATTTTTTAAACAACTGAGTAATACTCCATTGTGTAAATGTACCACATTTACTTTATCCATTCTTCAGTTGAGGGACATCTAGCTCGTTTTCAGGTTCTGGCTATTATGAATGAAGCCACAATGAACATGGTTGAGCAAGTGTCCTTATAGTAAGATGGAGTGTCCTTTGGGTATAGGTTATGGTCGTTTTAGGACTCAGACAAGAATTAAATAAAATCTCTAAATGGAATAAAGATACATATTTAAGCCGGGCGGTGGTGGCACACACCTTTAATCCCAGCACTCAAGAGGCAGAGCCAGGAGGATCTCTGTAAGTTAGAGGCCAGCCTGGTCTACAGAGCAAGATCCAGGACAGACACCAAAACTACACAGAGAAACCCTGTCTCAAAAAACTAATATATATATATATATATACCAAACAATTTAAAATGTTCTTAGTGTATGTTTCATTGTACGTAGTAGTAGGTTTCTTAAGGAAATATTCTTGCAAGTGTCTTTAAATAAAGAAACTGTCAATCAAGTATCCTGCTGTTCAGGATAAAGTAATAAAGCTTTTCATTCACTTAGCTTAGCAACATAATTAATACCCTATGAAATAAAAGTTATACCATTTAGAGTATAGAGAAATAAAAGCAAAAACCAGATTGCCTGTCAGCTTTGTTTCCTTGAATAAATGCCCCAACAATGTAGACCTAACTTGCAGCCCTGTGAAACCTCCCTCAGCTCCTTAGATTCACTTGTGTCCACCACCCTCTATTTGAGAGTATAAAGTTGGAGGCCCCAGCCCGGGCTAAGACCAGCACAGTTGATCTCATTCTCAGGTAGACACAAAACTCCCGAGTCATCTAGTTTCAGAAAATATGAATGTTTTCTTGGGTCTTTCTTATTTAGGGTTTCTTTAGAAGAACCATTCAGAAAAGTCTCCATCCATCTTATTCCTGTAAATATGAAGGAAAATGCGTCATAGACAAAGTCACTCGCAACCAGTGCCAGGAATGTCGCTTTAAGAAATGCATCTATGTTGGCATGGCAACAGACTGTAAGTAGATGCTCTTCATTTGCTTGATACTGAGGAGTGTCGACTGGGGGAAGGGTTCAGTTCAAGAGCAACGAAGAAAGCAGGAACCTCTGTGGACAGTCTGGCTCTTATACACACCCCTTCCTCCCTGCCTTGATGGAGGGGCGGCGGGAACCATTGGCTTTCTTCTTCCTGGCTCGTCAATTCCCTACTTCCAAAGCATCCAGATGATGGGGGAAGGGGGGTTAGGTCATGCCTGTGTGTGTTGGAAGGGTAGCCTATTAGCAAGCCTGTTCCACACTCCAAATGAGAGAACTTGTCCGTGTAGCATAGCCACTTCTCACAGGCAGGCTTCATGTGTGGGGAGGTTTAGAGACCAGTCCTTGGGTTTTCAAAAACAAATAAACTAAATTGGTTGACCTTTTTTGGAGATATGGTACTGGCAGAAAACATCATGTACAAGAATTTTTTAAGAATTCAAAGTTGAATGTTCCCACATGAATCATCCCACTGTTGATTGCTTATTGTATTTTTAGCCAAAAAAAAATTTTTTTAGCTAAAGCTGTACTATCCAATTTTCTAAGTGCTATATCATAGGCAGTGAGATTAGCCTTGGGGTCTCTCCTCCCAACCCTCACCCAGGGATTTGCACCAGTCACCTTAATTATCATGAAACAAAGAACTGTGCCATTCAGAATATGCATCCTCCCCTCTGCCAGGAATCAATAAGAATGATTTCCATAGCCATCATGTTTACATATCAGAGGTTTCAATCATGAGTTTAAAAGAGAAAGAAAAGCACTGGAAAGAAAGAAAAGCCAATGAGAACTTTCCTGGCATAAGAAAAAATAATCCTACTTTATGTTGCACCTCAGGCCCAGGGCATCTTTAACTCTAAAGGATTTGGACCCTTTTCTGACCAGGATGTGAACATGATTAGCTTAAAACCAAATACTAATATGTCACTGTTCCAAACCACCATTATTTAAGTAGCCATTTCATTGTTTTATTAAGTTTAAGGTATGAGTAGTTATGGGGTTAAAAATGCTCAAGGTCCAGCTAAACAGTGTGGATATACATTTTGAGGTCTTTTACTTACTTATGAGACATTTTAAAAGGTCCAGGTTTCTCAACATAAAAACCTCTGCTCAGAGACGGCCAGATATTTCATCAGGTAGAGGCACCTGCCACCAGGCCTGACAACCTAAACTCAATCCCTGTGACCCGTATGATGGAAGGAGAAAACTGACTCCCACGGGTATCCTGTGACTGTGCTGTGGGCATGTGCACACACCACACACACACACACACACACACACACACACACACACACACACACACACAAAATTAAACAAATCATAATAACAAGAAGAAAGAAGGAAGGAAAGAAGAGAAGGAGGGAGGGAGAGAGGAAAGGAGGGAGGGAGGGAGGAAGGGAGGGAAGGAGAGAGGGAGAGAGGGAAGGAGGGAGGGAGGGAAGAAGGGAGGAAAGGAGGGAGGGAGGGAGGGAAGGAGGGAGGGAGGGAAGGAGGGAGGGAGGGAAGGAGGGAGGGAGGGAAGGAGGGAGGGAGGGAAGGAGGGAGGGAAGGAGGGAGAGAGGGAGGGAGGGAAATCTCTGCCCAAGTCACAGACCTACTACTACTAGGTACATGATTCCAGAGTTAAGCTTTAGGTTTCTTGCTTGAGAAATCACCACCTACCTCACAGACCCAGGTCCAGGATTCAGGCTGTAACACATGTCAAATGCAACAGTGTGACATGCTGGAAGCCTTTGGGCATTGTGAGCCTTTAGGAAGTGAGCCAAAGTTACCTCACAGGACTACTCCATGTTTCCCACATTAGCAAATACTCATGTGACATTAAGATCCAATTCTGATGAGATCATCTGGGATTGCCTGTGAATTAGCTGGGCACCTTGCTTCTCTTCTTCATGCTGTGTCTGCCCTGTACATTGTCCAAGGACAGTCAGTTGTAGGAACTGAAGCAAGAGTCCTGAGTCTTCCTCCACCTCTACCATGAACTTGATGCATGACTTTAGGCAAATCACAGGCTCTGGATACGTGCCCTCCTCTGTGGAAAGAGGAAGATGAACTCGATACTGTCTGAGGTCATCTGACTCCTGAGTCTTGGAGATGGGCAGTTGGCTTGGGGTAGGAGTGCTTTCTGGGAAAGCAAGAAGACCCAAATTCTCACCATGAGCACCCACATAAAATCTGGCCATGGCCACATGTACCTGTAACCCCAGTGTTGGTAGTGGAGACAGGTATATTTGTGGGACTCATTGGCCAGGAGCCTCATTGGCCAGGATCTGAGCCTAACTGCAAGCTTCAGGTTCAGTGAGTGACCCTGGCTCAAATAATGTGAAGAGGGATTGAGGAAAACACCTGGCATACTTCTCTGGCCTCTGCATGTGTATACAAAGGTTCACTAACACACACGCGCACACACACACACACACATACACACACACACACACACTTTTTAGGTAAAATAAGATGAAGAGATGATGTGGTTCTGAGTATCAACAGGCTTCTGTGAACCTACATGGTCAAGGGAGAATACCAAGTCCACAGAGTTATTCTCTGACCTTCACAATGTGTCACAGCATATGTACACCTATCCCACACACACACACACACACACACACACACACACACACACACACACACACACACACAATATAATAATAATCTTTAAGTAAGATAAAACAAAACCTCAGTCTTACTATAAGTCTGGTAAAACAGTCTCATTTGGAAACTGACCACAGAAAGAGATGTTTCTTGTTCCTTTTTGCACAAATGGAAAGCTTATGACTACATTCACTCAGTGCTTACAGCTCATTGCCATAGTGCATGGGTTTAATTAATCCCATCTCATAAAGGGAGACATGAAAGCTCAGAGAGCCTAAGAAACTTGCTTAGAAGTCACACTGCTAGAAGGTGGTAGTGTCAGGATTCAAACCCAAGTCTTTCTAGATTCCCAGCAAAGGCACTTCATCTACCATCAGGGTAGACCAGGTACAAAGCCTTGGGAAGACATACCTGTGAGGCTCTAGAGAGTCCCAGCCACATCACAGTCTGCTCTTATAGAAGCCAGGAAGAGTTCTTTTCCCTCCCATCACTACTCCAGCAGACTTCCTAAACTGGAAGGACAGAAGCCCCAGGAATGAATGCAGATGGCAGCCCACTTGATTTCCCAAGTAGTGTGGGTTTTAAGTCTCTCTGCTTCAGTCTGATTTTAGGGCCACTGCCTTCTGCAGAGCTGAGTTCCTGGTGCCCAGGTTCCTTCAAAGCTCTGTTTTGGAAAGTTGGTCTGGGCACTGGGAGCTTGGCACTGGGCTCATACTGGGCAGTGGTCAATCAGAGGCAGTTTGCTATGGAAGGGAGAATGTGCCTAGTCAGTAGTTCTCTAAGTCAGTAGTTCTCAACCTGGGGGTCACAACCCCTTTGGGGTCAAATGACCCTTTCACAGGAGTCACCAAAAACCATCAAAAAACACAAATTTTCACATTATGATTCATAACAATAACAAAATTACAGTTATGAAGTAGCAACAAACTAATTTTATGCTTGGAGGTCACCACAACATGAGGAACTGTATAAAAGGGTCACAGCATTAGGGAGGTTGAGAATCGCTGCTCTAAGCCATCAAGCCCAGAGCCCAGGCTCAGAACCTACAGTCTGCTCCAAGCTCCAGATCACCGGCGGGTCCCTCTCTCCTCCCTCCCTCCCAGTGGTACTGGATGACAGCAAGCGGCTAGCCAAGCGGAAGCTGATCGAGGAGAACCGTGAGAAGAGGCGCCGGGAAGAGCTGCAGAAATCGATTGGGCACAAACCGGAGCCCACGGATGAGGAGTGGGAGCTCATCAAGACGGTCACCGAGGCCCATGTGGCCACCAATGCCCAGGGCAGCCACTGGAAGCAGAAGCGGAAATTTCTGGTAAGGTTCCTTGCCAAGCTCACTATCCACTTACGCTCCCATTTTCTGGGTTAGAGTCCTCTGGACCCTGCTGCCGTTAGTGCCTCCTTTTCCTGCCGGTGAGGTGCAGCTCAGAGAGGCCAGGGGCTTGAACTGCGATTGTGCCAGCGGGGGTATGGGGGTGGGGGTGGGGCGTGCCAGCGGGGTATGGGGGTGGGGGTGGGGCAGTGTTGGGGGGGGGTGCAGAGGCTGCGGATGGTCATTCACTGGAGCCCAGAGCTGCTTGCCAGGCCTCTGACCTCAGGGTGCTTTTCCTGTTAGTGAGGCCAGGGCTGGAACGGCTCCTTGGGAAATTCTGATACCTGCTGGCTTACCCTTCTCCCCAACCCTCCTGCCTTCAGATTCCCAGTGTACATACTCAGCCTTCGAGGCTCATCCACATGCATGCCCCCTTAAGCAGAATCTCTAGAAGGAAGGGTCCCAAACCTCAGCTCGTAGTGTTTGTTTGTTTGTTGTTGTTTCTTTATTTTTGAGATCATATTTTTTCATGATTTATTATTATTATTATTATTATTATTATTATTATTTTACATCCAGACCACAGTTTCCCCTCCCTCCTGTAGTTGAAGTTTTTCTGTGTCTAACTGGTTCCTGTAGCCGCTCAGACCCAAGTAAACACACAGAGACTTATAAATTGTATGACCATGGCAGGCTTCTTGCTATCTCTTTCTTATATCTTAAATTAACCCATTTCTATTAATCTATAAGTTGCCATGTGACTTGTGGCTTACTGGTACTTTTATATCTCACTTCCTCTGTGTCTGGCTGGTGACTCCTGACTCAGCCTTCCTTTCCCAGAATTCTCCTCTCTCTTTATCCTGTCTTTTTTCAAAAAGGAAGGTTTTAACTTTAACATGGTAAAATTACATATAACAAAACAATTATCAAGCAAGAATTACAGTTTTAATATCTAGTCTATTTGTATTTGGCAAAATTAAAGAAGATATCCTATCTGTCCTATATTTGTGAGTCTAAGGTTTTTTATATTACTTTTACTTTTTCTTTAAAGACTTTATTTTTTAAAACTATCTATTTTTTATATAACTGTATATATTACTTTTTTTTCTCTTTCAAGCCTATGCACACGTGGACACAGAAAAACTTCAGCTACACCCTCCTCTCCTCACAGTCCCTTCCCATGATCTAAGTTTTTATCTGTAAAAGTCAAAATGCTAATCTAGGAATAAAAGCTTGAGTCCAGGAGCCAGGGAATAAGAGTGTAGGGATGGGGGAGGTATGGAGACAAGGCAGATCTTTTCAGATCTGTGGGTGCTTAGTGGATTTTGCAGTGAAAGCCCTTGCCATTCATTTCTCAACCAGACTTCCTAGTACTCCGAGTTTGCTGGAGCTACTATCCCCATTTTACAGATGCGAAAACTAAGCTCATACATAGATGATATGACAGTAAGTGGCTAAGCCAGGCCTCAAAGCCAAGCCTCTGGTCCAAGTCACCCCCCCCCACACACACACACACCTCATCAGACAGACCACCTGCTCTAGCCAGTATCTAGCCACCTCCGAGACTGGCTCTGCTTTCAGTGTATGACATAAAGGCTTTTGGGAGTGCCTCGTTGGCAGCAAAGCCTGTGGATCTGTCTGCACATCAGAGGTGCTCTCTTTAAACGAGAAGCTACAGTGGTGGAATTACCTATGCACTGCAACAGCAGCATTATGATGCCGTGGTTTCAGGCTTGCAAAACGCAGAACGCCTAGGCAGGAAGATCGCAAGTTCAAGGCCTGCTTGAGCTCCAAGTCCAGCCTAGGCAGCTTAATAAGATCCTATCTCAAAAGTAAAAGCAAAGAAAGAGCCAGGGATACAGCTCAGAGGGAGAGCAGTTGCCAGGCCCCATGTGGTCCTGGGCCAATCCCCAGGACCAACAATGACAATTATGAAAGGAATTTTGGGGGAGAAAAGGCTATGCATAATCCACCTGTTCTGAAACAAATTCTCTCACTGTCACTGTAACAGATACTGTCACACATCACCAGTACTGTGTTGATGGTCTCTAGAAAAGTCACCAAACACTCAAGTGATTCAAGCCCCAACTCTTGGAGCCCTACTTTCCCCTCCCTCTGCCAACCCTACAGATAGAGATGAAGAACACCTCCAATTACAGGAGAGAGACGTGGGAAGCTTATGGGGCTCCCTCAGCTAGATTGTGCTAGAACATGGGGAGCATGTGCAGCCGGTGCCCCGTCTGTCTAGACTCCTCCTGCCTACCACCCACGTAGCCTTACTGAATGGGAGGGCAGCGCCCTGGTACTTCACCTTTGGCCCCATCCTGGTGTGCCTGTCCGGAAATTAAACTGCACTAATTCTGGATCAACAGGCTAATTCCAAACCAATCTATCTAGACCCCATAAGTGCCGAGCCCAGCATGCCCACAGGCCTCGGTCCACCTCAGTCCATCCCCACATGTGTGGGCCACAGCCAGGCCTGGAGCTCCGTTCTGATTTCAAGTAGTCCACAGGAAGTGGAATTCAAGCTGAGTTCTGAGTCAGATGGAGGAGTCAGGTCCGTTCTGGACTTCTGGGGAATTTTATGCTTTCATTTTTTTGCCTCTAGGTGGGGATGAATCTAACTAACCCTGTTTCTGTTATCACTAAAGTGTTTCTATTCAGAGTTTAAGGATTTATCCTCTGAAGTTATGTTTATGCATGTGTGTCTGTGTGGGGATAAGTGTATGTGTGTACATGTGTATCTGTGTGGGGATATGTTTTTGTGTGTGTGTCTGTGTCTGTGTCTGTGTGGGGATAAGTGTCTGTGTGTACATGTGTGTCTGTGTGGGGATGTGAGTATGTGTGTGCATGTGTCTGTGTGGGGATGTGTGTATGTGCATATGTGTCTGTGTGGGGATATGTATATATGTGTGCATGTGTGTCTGTGGGTACATGTGTATCTGTGTGGGGATATGTGTGTGTGTACATGTGTATATGTAGGTGCAGATGCCCTTAGAGACCAGAGGTGTCAGATCCCTCTGGAGCTGGGGTTACAGGTGGTTGTGAGCCCCCTAATCCAAGTGCTGGGAACTCAGCTTGGGTCCTTTGCAAGAGCAGTATGCACACTTAACCTGAGCTATCTCTTCTGCCCCAAGACTAGCAAGCCTGCCTGCCTCCAAGTTCTCACTTGAGTTCTTGCCCTGGCTCCCGGCAGGGAGCAGCTCTAACAGGAAGTATAGGCTAAATAAGCCCCATTAAGTTGCTTTTGGCGAGAGTGTTTCATCACAGCAATGGAAAACAAATGAATAGTATCCATGTACCGAAAGTTCGCCATGGACAGAGGGACGGTCTAGGGCTTATGTTTCCTGTGTGGCTGATGTGTCCTCTTTGTGCTTAGAGCACTGCTTACTGTTTCATTGGTTTTGTGTGCTGATGTTCCACCTTGTTCTGGAGAAGGAGTGAAGAGGCTGGTGGCCTTGGTAGTGCGGTCACTGTAGGGACTGAGAATCATATGCTGTCATGGAAGCTGTACTATTCATTTGCCAGGAATGAGTGTCTGGTCCCCAAAAAGAACAACAACTTCCTTTGCCCTCAAGGACAGGCTCCAACCAAGTCAGGAAAAGAGGTGGTGGGATGATCTGGTTTCCAGATCTGTGTTTCCATCTGAGAAAATGAGAGTGTTTGGCAAATGAGGAACTTTTGCAAAATCCATGCCATTTCATAATGAACCTAAACCCATGCTGTCAAGCCGCATCCAGAAGCATTTAAATTATGTTGTTTTCGTGCTTTTCGTCAATCCACTTCAGTCTCCGAGGTTACAGAAATGTTTTCAACAGTGAAGACACTGTTTTGAAAAGCAGAAGTGGGCTGAGGAGGGAGGCTTGTTTCTACCCTCTCCGTGGCAGGAAGACGCTGGCACAAAACCCACACCCACTGCAGCCTGCTGTGCACGTGGTCGTAATCATCTGGCAACACTGCACTGTTCTCCTCCCTGGTGCATGAGAGGGGGCAGCTGCAGACTTCTGCACAAGAATGAAATGTGACCGTTAGAGTCAGGACAGACCTGCCCTGTGCAGTGTCAGAGGGGGCACAGACCGGAGGGTCAGAGAGGTGCATTTGTGGTCTGCGTGGTCAGATCCTCCAGTCTGTCACCCCAAATCATCATTTCAGAAGCAGGGAGGAGAGCCTAGCGGTGTGGGGACAGACACTGGAGCCCAGATCTAGTCCTTCCTAATGTGTGATCTTGAGTAAACTCTGTCACGCACACACACACACACACCTACAGTTCATTTGCCTTGTGACCATCTCAAATGGTGTAAAAACTGTTCACTGTAAAGGATACAGCGGTGCCTGGCATCCCGTGCTCCATGGCATCCCATGCTCCATGCATCATCCCACCCCTCACCACTCTCACTGTCTTATCCCATTCATCCCAGGAAGCAGAAGCCTGGAGTCGTGTCCCAGACCCCAAGGCCCTGAATGCATCCCTGTCCTTCTCCATGGCTTTGTAATGGTGTGAGCAGACACCTGCTGAACAGAGAGGACTCATCCACCTGGCCAAATCCCACTCTGCCAGTGCCAGGGAGCTGCCAGGCTAAGCTGAGATGTCCTTGGCTTCCAGCCAGCCATTTGAAACAAGGCCAACTGGCCACATCTCCTGCTTACCCCGAACAATGCTAAGGAAACCTCAACACAGAGGGCCAGCTGGCAGAGGTCTGTGTAACTGCAGCCTCCCCAGTGCCGAGCAGAGGCTAGTGCCTGTACACACACCTGAACCCCTCTGCTGTACCTCTCTGTCCCCACTGCCCAGAGGATCCAGGTCACTCTGGGTTTCTGAACCTACACCCAGTGCATCTTCCTAAGTTCTCCACTTCGGTTTTACTGCAAACCCACAGTGCAGCCCACCCCAGCCTGCTCAAACTGCAGCTGTCACCAGCAACTTCTTCCTCTGGCTCACTCCTTCCCCAACCCAGCAGCCGGACACCTCATCAGGCCTCTGTCCTGTTTGTAGCCCTTCCTTG